TATCGGTTAAAACATCAGAGTATGAGAGTCACAAGAACGATAAGTTAGGATCGAATTTGCAAAGTTTGAATGAAATAAATTTAGACATGTGACAGGCTGAGAGTAGAAAATCTATATAGCACACTATATCATACTCAAAGATGATGACAGCATCTGCACAATGCATATATTCTATAAAAGCCAATCATTTCTGTCTGTTAAAAAAACACCAAATCACGAGTACAAAAATATGAAATTTAATTTTAGCTTAACACACTGTTGACAGTTGATGGGGTATCATATGACCCTTCAGCAAGAAGCATTGTGTATAATATATATATATATATATATATATATATATATATATATATATATATATATATATATATATATATATATATATATATCATGCATAAAATGTACAGATTCAATCGATAGAAAGCTCCCCCTCAGCCTAGTGGCTTTTGGAATCTTATCAGGAAAGAAAATTGAATAACTTCCTTTGAAAGAAATTCACAAAGTTATTCTTTTTGATAACTTCCACTTTAGGTTCTGCAGTTATTTGTATTAGGTAAGTTAACAGATCAGAATACAGCAAGTACTTCAGAAAATTTCTATGTAACAAGCAACGGTCGTGAATTGAAAACAACAGTGAAGCACTTCAGGAAGGACAACAACTTTTTACTGGTGATGCCGATGGCTGCTTCTTCTCGTGGTGAAGTCATCAAGGACGGCATGAAGTGAACCTATAATGCTGTTAAAGGTAATTAATCACACCAAACATTCTATGCTCTCACTTTTTGTGAAGTGGCCTCGTTTTCAAACCCTCTTATTCAAAACTGCTCGATAAAGTTACATTTGCAGTTTTAAACTGAATTTGCAGTAGAGGTTTTCGTTGTCATTCCATTAAAATTCCACGCTCTTAAAGATTTCATATAACTGATGTACTGGACCCATAAAAAAGCTTAATTATTGTATAACAAACAAAATAAGTGAACAGAGAATATCCTTTTCGATAATTTCCTCTTCTGGTTCTACAATTATATATATATATATATATATATATATATATATATATATATGTTTCCATACATAGAACATTCTAGAACAGTAGTCAATAGCAATATTAGTGTTTTTATAAATAATATCGATTTGTAAAGTAAGATCAATGGAATTACAGTTCATTAAATACGCTTAAAATATAATAATAACAATAATAATATAATAGCAAGTAGAATATCAACTAAAATTAAGGGAATTTCTACGAAAAATTGAGGATCATTCGAACCTAGATGGCCAAGGAAAGGAAAATGTCTGAACTAGCTTCTTTTGGACGCATAAATTAGGCTTCTTAATGTAGATCCCAACGACCCCAGCAATATTTAGTAAACAAACTTTTAAGGCGAAGTTCAGATTTGTTGGTATGCGGTAAATGACTTTGAAAGCCTCGTGTGTTCTTGTGTTCAATCTTGTGTTCTGTATCCACAAGATGAGATAGAATAGTGCTACGAATAGATTTTGTTTATCCTTTACTTAACCACGTAGGTTGATGTTTGGAAATCCGACGAGAAACACGCTTGATTGTACGGCCTATGTAACTGGCTCAACAAAGCGGATTACTTCGAGAAGATGAATACTATTCTTAATAATAACCTAAAATTTCCAAAAATCTTCTCTTCTCTGGATGCGATTGAAAAGATAGAAAAATAGTTATCGGAAACATTGAGAAGACTAAAACAAGGCTTTCTCTCACAGAGTCAGTAGGTTTCGTATGTCGATTTTTCGTCCTATGAGTTTATCGCATACAGGGATGACATTCGGAGCACATGTCCAAGCTACCGGATCCGGTGTTTCCAGATGACGACACTCAATGAATGGTGATCTCCACTGTGTTCAAACACCCGCCGCCGAACCTCAGAATTACTTGCACGATGGTGCTATCCATCGAACGCAAGCAATCCTGCGGAGACAGCGATGATCGAACACACAGAGTCGCCGCACATCCTCACCTCAGAGGGGCTAGGTTTCACAGGCGTAGAGCAGGGCAGTCTGCACCGAAGCATTGTATACCCAACCTTTGACAGCCAGGCTAACATCGCGACGGCGCCATAGGTGGCTCAAGTTGATGTATACCACCACCCTAGCCTTCATTATACGGTTGGAAATCTCATCCGTCACCCCTCCACCAGCACTCACACAACTACCCAGGTACACAAGCTTATCAACAACTTCAAGCGGTTCACCCAAAACAGTGAGTGCAGGTACAGGCTCCTGCCAATCATGTAACAGTACTTTGCACTTAGACGGCTCAAAGCACATACCATACTTACAGACACTAATCGCCAACTGATTAAGTGCGATTTGGGCAGCCAGCATGCAATCTCACAATAAGACGATATCGTCTGCATACTCGAGGTCGAAAAGTCTATCTCCAGGTAGCAGATCTACACCACCTTCACGCACATCCTTCAGAGTTGACTCCAGAATGTCATCAATGGTAAAGTTAAAGAGAAATGGAGAGATTGGGTAACCCTGTCTAACCCCACTGTTGGTTGGGAACACTCCACCCGAGGTGTTTCTGTATAGGGCTTTCAAGATGTTAACAAATTTCTCAGGTACACCTCTCTCTAAGAGACAGTTCCAGAGCACAAATCTGTCCAACGAATCGAACGCAGCCTTAATATCAAGAAACACAATGATTGTTGGCCTGCAATACGTGTGGCGGTGTTCCAACAACTGACGAAGGGTGAATACATTATCAATGCATTCACGACCTGAACGAAACCCAGCCTGCTCTTCGCGAATCAATCCCTCACGTATTTTGCACAGCCTGTGAAGCAAGACAGCAGCCAATATTTTAGAAGCAACTGGTAGCAAACTGACACCCCTACGATTGTCACACCAATCTAATATGTTCTATGTGTATAAACATATACACATATATAACTGTAGAGCCAGAAAGGAAACAATCGAAAAGGATATTCTCTGCCTAACTATTTTGCCTTTTATAGATGTCTGAATGAATGTTTTCGTTAATTATAGTAAAATATATCTGATATTATTTTATTTGAAATAATATTGAACCATACAAAATAGAAATGTCGAGTTACTGTCATCTGTAAACACATTTATATTTGATTGCAAAGTATCTTTCAAACCCAAGAACCTGTAGTCAATCAGATATCTTACTTTCCCTAAGTCCTTTTACAAAAATATCATCTAACACATAAATAACCTTACATAGTTTACTAGCCGGTCCTGAAACCAGAAAAGGAAGGACGATTGTAAGTCTAGCAACTTCACTCTGTAAGTACAACCTCGTTCTCACTGAAACTTCATTCACGGCAAAATAAACTTATTCTCCTGTGGAATCAGGAAGACTTCTCATTTCTAGGACGAATGTTACCGGCGAGTGACAGCCTTCCAGAAGCCAGTCAACTAGTGTGTATTCTTTCAACAGGATCAAAAGGAAGCATACGGGAACGGAATCTGCGCACCATGTTCGAGGCTGTCTGGCTTTCAAGGCCAGTAAATGAAAAGAAAGCACACAGACGTTTTAGGGATTTGTGAGAGCAGAAGGGACGGAGAAGAATCCACAAAAGTGTTAACTCCGGTAGTCTAGATGACAATGGTGAGTGCACTAATAATGATAATGATAAATTACAATAATAAATAACACCGTAACTATCATGTTGTCAGCAACAGCATGGAACTGGGGTCTACTTGAAGGTTAAAAAGTTTTGAATGAATGCGAATCAAGTACGCCCTAAGTGCATAAATACAGCCACTCAAGTATAACAAGGGTAAATTTGAGGTCCACTACTATTCCTAATCTTTATAAACAATCTCCCTAACAACCCAAGATCCTCAGCTCTCCTCGAAGCAGACCACGTAAAGGTGTGGATAGCAATGAGAAACATGTAAGATTAGATCACACTGAAAGAAGATTTAACCAACTCGGAGAACTGGACCACGGAAAATGTGTTAAATTTCAACAGTAATAAACGCTAAATAATGTTCATCCACGCGCCAGCATATCAAAGGTTCGTACATCGCTGATGATGAACCTACCTCTACCAGACGTAGACAGAATGATGTCCAGAGTACTTGTGACAGGCACTACACACGGATGACACCTATTCCGGAGACGTGGCCAAAACCAATGGCGCAATCCAATTCGAGTTCACTTTCACAGCTGTACAAAACATTTGTGCGACGAAATGTAAAAATTCGCTGCGCCTCCACTCTTTAAAAGACTACGGCACACAGGTTGAGGAAACTTCAACCAATTCACTTGGGACAATAAGACATCATATGAGTTTTCCGTTTCACGCTCAGTCGACGTTCTTACCGGTGGCGATTTTGCAGAAAGTGACTAAGCTTTTGGATATGCCTACAAGAAAGATGATTAAATTCAACACAGTTCTATAAACTACTGGGATTGTATAGATAATTTCGAAGACTGGAAAGATGACGATGATATCGAGTATCAGGTGAAGTTCGATAACTTGATTTGGTGCTACGAAGGAGAAGTAAAAGTGAATATTAAGCACTGAGTCCTGCTAGTACCGGGAGAAGGCTACAGGAAACCTTTGAAATTGTTAGAAGTATTCCAGCAAAAGCGTATTATGGTGTGCATCTTCGAAGACAAACTTTTGAATTTTCCAAATATAATAGGAGGTGACGCAGTACTATAGGGGAATTCGTCTCACGAGATGCAGGCATATGAAGTGACTCTAAAATAAACAAATTCTGTTTCAGATTTGAATTCTGGTAGAACTATTGGAAGCCTGTTTCTGAAATTCGCTGTTCATTCACAATGAGAATTAGTAGAGGTTGCGTGTAACATTACACATAACATTTCATAACGAAATGTTACTCGACAGCTAAAAAATTACACCGAACAGTTGCCAGTTGTAGTTTAGCCATTTAAGCTTACTTATCTCCAAACGGCCAAATACTGCTAATGTAACAACAGAAGACAAGGGCCAGACAACAGATCGTTTATTAAAGAAATCAACACATATTTATAGAGTTTCATGTACATAATATAGATTATTGTTAGCAGAAAAACAGTCTTTTGATTGGTTGTTTCTCACAGAAAGTTAACCTTGCATCTCTTTGTGGCTGTTTCTTGAATATCAGATCATCCATATGTTAACTGTATCCGCCTACGCAAAGCCTTTGTTCTCATTTTTTCACGACCACTACTGGGAACATAAACACTGACGTAAATTATTGTCCATCAATTTTGACTAACAGCCAGCTCTCACCACACATGTGGAAGCCCCAATTTCGATTCCTTGTAGTAAGTTTGGAGTTAAGACTACCTGAATGTTTCTCAGAAGGGTTTTTTGGTAGTTATTGAGTCATAAAGAAAATAAAAGAAACTTTTCGCAAAAGCAATTCCTCTATCGATGAACTCAACAATAAAGGCTGCATAATCCTATTTATATTTACTATAACACAAAACAGTTCGTTATTGAATGGTAGACGTGCAACATAATTAGTAAAATTAATCATAAGTGCTCTCTAAAGATAGGAAGAAATTATGTATAATGGTAGTAAACGTTTGCAACTCGATAAAGTGAAAATTGTTACTGGATGAGAATAAAATGGATGCGTTTACGTGACAACTGTAAGCAAGGTTTAGAAGATGATGGATGCTGACATTTACGCAAGATACTCTGTATGCAAATACAAGTTTTTAACCTTCAACTCTAGAGACAGATCAAGAGAATGAATTGATCATCCAAAATACGAGATATATATTTGGTGATCAGAATCGTAGTGCGATGATGAATGCTTAGCTAGTTAGGGTTCGTGCACGAACGACCGAATGTGAAACGACAGTGTGCCAAATTATGTAAATGCTTGATCGCACACCTCGAACTTAACAAGTTGACTTAATCAATGAAGGTCAACATCCAGTGCTCAAGGAAGAATGTAGCAGACTAATAATCTTAGAGAATTATTTACCACTTCAGTTCACTCCCTCCTTAGTGGGGTCGTGACGATTCTAAGACGATACCAGTTGGAAATGAGAAGCTAATTGTACCATCATTAGTAAAACGTCCGGTGAGTGCGATGGCAATGTGTTGCCTTTTGGCCATCTGTCAGTGCTGATGTGATGTATGTACAATGATTCGTTCATGTTCGTTCGTCGGTTGTCGTGCTTCTTGCCCGTTGCACTTAGGAAAAGAGAACAAGAGAATGCTGAGAACTGAATTTGAAAAATATCACCAAAAGTAACAGTTGGATTGGGACATACATACACAAAGCAAGGAAATCGCGGGGGACATCGAAATTAAAAAAATCTATTTTATAAAGCATTTGACACGACACATATTACAGAACTGAAGGAGTAATTTACTTCCAGAATTACTAATGATTAAACTGTGAAATTTCCCTCTATTTATTCCGTAAACTAGTACACACATCTTCATATGAATGTGAGTTAAATAATATGTAATGAAACATGGCTTCTTTTAAAGATAACAATGCAAAGGGTATTTATTTATGCCACTAAAATTATTCAGAGCATTTATTTGGTTAGCATATTTTGAATTTTATTCTTCGCTTCGGAATTTTCGTCCATTAGTGTAAATACCAGTTGACCACGGTTCCGAATCCTGCTCTGTATGAGAGAAGTAGTCTAGTGCTAAATATATAAATGTTTTTATCATCGTTACGAGCTACGTTTTTATTCTTCATTTGAAACTTTCACAGCAGTAATAAACACGATAAGTCGTGTTCGAAAAATCATCCAGTAAATAATACTGTTTCGATGTGTGATATATCAGTCAAACAAATTAATGTGGAATTACTTACTACCATAGTGCCCAAGTTTTACAAGTATATCAATCAGAAATTCCTCTACCAAACGATATACAGACAGTTTTAGTTACAGATATTTCCAACTGTCGTAAGCTAAAGTGTTCTCATGATTGTCTGAGTTGGAAAACACCCCTTATTTCTTTATATTTAGGATGAATGGCTAAAGGACTCGGAACTATAATCCGTATGGGTGATAATGATCTGCAGTAACTGACAAAAGTCTTTGATTTCGGGATTTCATCATGAACTGAAATCGGTTAGAGGACCATTGGAAAACCTGGGAGTACTGAACAGTGGTTTCGTCAGACTAGTTTTGGACTTTTCAACAGTACACACCCACTACGGGGATTAAACTCCAGGACATTCCGGTTACAAGGCGAGCACATAGATCATTAAGCCACTGAGAACCGATCTAATAGCCCACTAAATTCCAACTTCTGCCAATTCACGATATAGCGCAACTACTAGCCAATGTCATAGCTGGCGACTATTTATCCTCACACCCTACCTGCTGTACCCCACTGGTCACGACTTCTCACTGGAACCGATGCCAGCTCATGATGAAAACCTGAAACCAATCAAATCCCTGAAAAGCACATCCAGTATTTGTTCATGTATTTTGGAGGATCAGTATCTAACACCACGTCAAACTCTGTTTGAATATAGCTAGTGTATTCATATAAATTTCCTCAGGCATACGATTGTAATGACCACCAGAAAACAACAACAACAACCGGAAAGAGTCAAAACCAGCATAATTACCTCAAAAGAGAAAGAGGTCGTACATGTATCCGCACTGGTGGTAGTTGAATTCAGGTTAACCCGTATGGGTTTAAAGTTAAGTGGTTATAACAAAGGCAGCATATTATGAACTGCTCAGAGCCGTGGAAACCTATATCCATTAACAGACAAAAAATATGCTTTCCCTACTCGTTGAACGAAAATTATTCTTTCCTTTTTACGTACTTTACGAAGAAGGCAACACCCTTGCTAAACAGAAGAACTAATTCAATACGATTTGATCACTACTAAAAAATAATAATAATGAAATATATTTGAGTACAAATCATAAATGTGTGAATAAAACAATTCCAACAGTGGTGTGAACACGGACAGTAATTTTGCTCGAAATATTACCAATAACAAAACTTATCATTTTGTGTAAACCATTGAAATATAATTATACTTTATTAAAACTCACTTGTTTGTCATCCATCTTCCTGGTCCCTTCCAGGAAGTGCTACCCCCTACACAATTTTCCTAGTACCCCTAAGTTCTGTCAAGGTTGCTAATAATTTAAGTCATAAAAATATCAATAATAGTATCCTAAATTCACTGATGGTTTAAGACATGTTGCCAAGACATTCGAAGGCAAACTACAATGGGTGAACAAGAATTTGGACGCGTTTGCTCTGAGGTATTTGTATGACTTAGCAACATGTCTACGCTAAAGATTAACGTGACAACATCACTTTAGGGCTTTTAATTCTAGGCACTAAGTCAGTTCCGCCTGTAGTTGAAATGATGCTTCCGAGGTAGGTAAACGAGGTTGATTCTTTCAGGTTCCTCCCATTTATGCTTATTGTTGTTATTGATGTTTGTTTTCTCTATGTTCACCTGAAGTCCTATCTTTGATGCTTCTTCTGCCAACTTGTTGCTTTTCACTTGCATATAGTTTCGAAATATCAAATATTTAATATATATCCTAACCCACTATGCTGTCCCCTTTGTCAACTCAGACATCTCTTGTTCCATTTCGTTTTTTCAGTAGCATTATTAAATATTGGTTTCATATCTATGAGAAGTATTAATCTTTCTTAACTCGTTGCACTGATTTTATTCACCGAAAACGTATTCACAGTACCACTCAATAGACAATGTGCCAGATGAAGTTTAACGTAGAGAACATGTGTTGAAAGCTCTCTGTCCGAATAAGTGTTTAGAAATTAATCAGAAACAAATATTGTCTGTTTACTTAGTTTTGGTGAAATGATGGAGGTAGAAATAGTAAGAATAACGGGGATGATAACTCAGTGTTACGTTAAGGAATGGAATAAACAAAAAAATACACAAAATTTTCTTGTATGGGGGTTACTTCAACCAGAATACCATGGAAAAGCAATCAGTTTGATTGAAAACTATCGTACGGAAGGAACTGTGCACTCTCTGATAACTAAAAGATCAAATATGAGAATACATATGGTTTTTCCCTTAGATTCTCAAGACATTCATCGATCAGTTTTCAACAGACAATACACCCAAGGTAGATAAGAAAGAATATTGCTGTGCTGAAGACTCGACAGCTATGATCCTCTTTTACAGTTTTATTTGAGGTGTTATTTGTTTGTAGCTAGCTCTAACATCAAACATGAGAGAAATGGTAATGCTGAACCAACGTCAACATCAAATTAAAGATACGCACAGGCAAACCACTTTTCTATAAATTAAGAACGACTTCTAATTGTTCTATAACACTTAAATGGACTCTGATAGATAGTTGATTAAATTAATCACTAAATCACGGCAACTAACTTCTTTTAAAGATACCACCAATTGTATCCTATGAGAATGGATTTACTGGTTGTGCACTGAAAAGCTACACAATTGTTATCAGTTGTATAGGTTAGCAAGACTTAAATAAATTAGGACAACCTTGAAGCCTTAGTCTTAGGAGTTACGAAGCTAGTGTATCACTCTAGCTTTCTTTCGCCACGCTGCCTGCTCACGTTTTACAAAAAGCTTTAAAGAATTATTACCTATGAGGATTTTTAGACTTGTTAAAATACCAGTGTAATTCAAGTGCGTAAGTAATATGAAAGCAAAAACAGCTTTGGCCGTAAGCTTGTCTATCATAAAACCATTGTCTGGATTGCCTTACTTACAAGCTTTTTTGAAGTGCAAATACTTCAACTGATGCAGGAAAATACTTTCACAGTTCGATCAAACTAATGAATATAATTACCACCTTTAAATCTGCTAATTACCAAAGTTTATTTCGTTAGATTCACTTGTCAGTTGTTTTTAATTTTAATTAACCACCAATTTGTAAACATGTGATCAGTGTTGCAGTTTCAGCCTCACTGTGGTACCGATAACTTCAATAATTCAAAAGGAATCAATTGCACCAAGAATTATGATGTATCATATCATTAAGAATGAGAGATATAATAAGGAAAAGTATCAGAAATGCGTAATCTTAGAATCAACACCACATGGCATTTCTAACGGATATTCTAACCAATCTTCTAGTCTGTTCATTTCAAATTATCAATGCAAAATAAAAATAAATGAATTCCACTTGGTTCAATCGCAGTCAATGACTTTATGATGTAGTAGAGTGAATAAACCGAACAATAAGCAAAATTTGTTGATTGGCCTTATTTTATTCTATCTTTAAATGTGATCATTTGCGTTTTAATGTGTTATAATGCCATTCATTTAATGACAGTTTTTTAGCTTTTTGCCATAACACTATTTTATTAACAAAGAGTATATATATATATATATATGCGAAAAAGCAACTAGTGTAAACTACTTTTAGTTTATTATTTACATTGGTTTTTGTTTATTGTTTAGTACATTCGGTAACCATGTCGTCGTCTAGCAGTTTTTTCGTAATTCGGATTACGAATTTCTCCGAATTCACACTTGGCCGCATCAGGTAATGAACACGGAGGAACCCAGTTGTCATTTTTGAGGCTAGCGAAGCATTTGATGACATCGGAGTCTTTATTCGCTATTTTCTAAAAGAAAACGTCAGTAAAGTACGACATACAAACTAGCATAACTTACCTTCATCAGAGTAATTGAATCGTAAGGAGCATTGAAATTAATAAGAAAATAGTGGCCTTCGTATTGCCGTTCACCTTGAACATGGAAAACATTCGGCAGTCGCCTCAGACCGAGATTTTCAACATTGAATAAGTGAGCGCCATTCTCAAGCATTCCTTTAAGTTGTCTCTTTAGAGCTGCTTTTATGCCAGGCGTACCAAGAGCTTTAATAATCAGGGACATTTCATATCGTATCATAGTTAAAACCTGAAAAAATCATTAATTTCCATCTAAATTAATTAGGTATATAGCTGTATATGAGACGGCAATATAAACCACTTCAATGTGGGCGATTATAACAGACCGAATTAGAAGGACGAATAACTTCATATTTTTTGATGCTTGCCCCGGTGAGAATGAACATTCACCTTTTGTGTGTGGTCACCAATATTACTAACCTTTTTGTCTGAAGTTACAACATAATTCCACTACCATGAATGTCATAAATTTTGTACGTCGGTTCTAATCGTCATAATGAACTCGAATGTTAAGTCCAACCTGTGTCTATATCCCAGTTTTTCTTTGCATTTACTCCATAACTGCGAAAATCCTGTTAGATAATCCTCTCACTAATTTATGTTCCACGAGGCTTGAAATAACCTCATATTTTATTCCCAAAATTATATATATTGAATTTACAAGTAAATGTGGGACCAGATTGTTCGAAATGTATAGCGCAAATACACCACATTTTTCAAATAATCTCCGTCTTCTAATAACGCTATCAAAATACATAATATGTATTTAGTCCCTAAAAACGATTTTTCTCTTCACCTTGTAATTAACTAACTATTTGAAAACAAGCAATAAAAGTTAATAAAGCAGGATTTAATGAATTCATCAAATTTCGGTAGAACTCGTCAGCTGAATACTCTACATACACGGATATATATATACTTTTGAAATTACATTGGGAGATATAAGACTAATAAGTAAACAAACTACACCGAATTAGTCATGCAGACTTACAAGTTTAGCTAATTCTATTAACTTGTTTATATTTTATGTAATTCTTCCAAGTCATCCCATTCTTTTTAGTCATCATTGCTATTTTACAATTTTCTCGATTATGTAATAACTTGTTGCTAACACCTAAGAATCAACTTATCTTGAATTCCGTAATTGATTTTCACCTCACCTTTAAAATTTAGATATCTTGTTACTAATATATCTATTAGTTGATTGTTCTGATGACCTTTAACCTCTTAATTTCACCCATGCCTATACCTAAAACTGATTAACTAAAATAACCACTTGATTGGTAAAAATTTTAGTGTAAGAAGCTATATATTAGTGTAGAGCCGATGATGAGGAACTGAAAAGAAATATATTTCTTCGTTCAATCTGTCGCTTTTTCTAAATGTGTACATGGGAATTCGGAAAAAATGCAGACGGTTTCGATACCCAGTCACCACTGACACACTTTGTAGTCACTCAGTCACATATTGTTCTAAACCTTACCTATGGAATCATTGACAGTACACAGTGGAATTACGCAGTGGCCACAATATAATCTTATAATTCAAAATTAAGTATATTAAAAAATGAATCACATTTATTGTTTGCAATCGCCTATATGAGTAGTTGCTTCCACCATTGTAAGATATGATGAGACTCGGGGAGCTTGTATTTACTTTTGTAGATTGAGTTGCATATCAGTTACTGATGAACAACCAAGAAGTGCCCCGGTTAACAGATTACATACACCTTATTAACGAAATCTGGTCTGGCATTTTACTAATGTGAGACTTTACCCTTCTAGAAGAGAAGACATGTGAACATAAATAGTTAGCAGCTAGCACCATCAAACCTGAATTATTATAAGTGGACTTCGGTTAACACCCTTATAAACTGATGGAAAAAACTGTTCAGTGAAATGAATGACTGAGACTATAACCTATGAACAGTGGGGGGGGGGTGACAAAGGCGGAAAAGATGGAAAAAGCATCGGCAATAGGCAACACTGGGCAACTCTTTAGACTCATCAGGGAAACGGGTGGGAGAAGGCAAATCATAAGTGAGACTATTTTGAGAAAAATAGCTTCTTAATTATCTCTCAGGATAGACGCCTTGAACGCTGGAAAGAACACTTCGAGGAACAATTTAACTTGCCTACAGCCACACTGGACATCCCCGCCATCCAGCACACACCCGAATGGGATATAGACACTGGTCCGCCGTCTGTAAGTGAGGTCACAAAAGCCATCTGTAATTCGAAACAAGGCAAAGCGGCAGGACCCGACGAAATTATCCCGAAGGTGTTTAAGTGTGGGAGTGACATACTAGTATGTAGATCAACCAAGGTACTAGGCAACGTCTGGGAATCAGAGACGGTTCCATCAGACTGGGGTAAGTCACTTATTATACCGATATTCAAGAAGGGAAACAAGTCCTCTTGTGATAATCATAGGGGGATCAGACTAACGAACATAGTTTCTAAAATCCTAGGCTCAGTAATCATGCACAGACTAAGCAGAACTCGGAAGGGACAAACGAGGGAAAATCAGGCAGGCTTTAGACCAGGTAAAGGGTGCATAGACCAAATCTTCACTCTCCGACAGGTTCTGGAACATAGACACACTTTTCGGCGTCCAACAATTGCCATATTTCTTGAGTTGAAGGCGGCCTTCGACTCCGTAGATCAAAAGGTACTATGGCAATGTTTGACTGTGAAGGGAGTGCCAAGAAAGTACATTGCACTAATCAAGGCACTCTATTCAAACTCACGTAGTCGTGTAAGGGTTTATGGGGAATTGTCATCTGAATTGATAACAACAAGTGGTGTCCGATAGGGATGTCCACTTTCCCCATTTCTGTTCAGCTTCATCATAGATATGTTGATGAAAGTATCCTTAACTGAACTTAACGACTTAGGAATCGACTCGTTACCAGGGAATAGTCTTATGGACTTAGAATATGCAGATGACGTAGTCCTGCACATCTCAGCGCGTATCCAAAAAGCTCGAGCTGCTTTCGCTGACTTACACCATCTCTGACGTAGGCGTGACATCCGGCTATCACCCAAGGGACGTGTGTACTGCTCAGAAGTTCGCTCCGTCCTTCTCAATGGCTCTGAAACATGGCCAGAACGAGTTGAAGACATCAAAAGGTTGACTGTTTTTGATCATAGATGTCTACGATCTCTTTCACACGTTAGGTGGTTTAATAAGGTAAGTAATGTTGACGTTCGGTGTAGTGTTGGGCGAAGAGGGAAAATCAATCGACGAAGCCATAAGGTCACATAGATTCAGATGGCTAGGTCACGTGGTGCGCATGCCTAACCATCGCCTCCCCCGACGGGCATTACTAGCTGATATAGGTTCAGGTTGGAAAAGAGCCAGTGGTGGCCAAACAAAAACATGGCCTCATCAATCCATGAAATCCTTGACAGTTAAACTGAGTCAGGTAGGGAGATGCAGACTCCCGGGTTGGAGCCCTCGGGACTGACTCTAGGAATCAATGGCTGGGGACAATAGGTGACATGGCTCAAAATCGTTGTCAATGGCCAGCGCAGATGTATTCAGTCTCTGTAATCTTTCATATCCCTTACTACCATTACCCATTCTGTTTCACTCTTATACTTGTCAGACTATATTGATTCTCTTCACTCATCCTCTTGTCTACCTCTGTGTGCTATTTGTAACGTGGCAACTCGAACCGCTGCACCTCGGTGCCAACTTCTATGTTGAATCCAGACAGACATCTTTAATTATTGCACTCATTTTTAGTCATAATGTAATTAGGTTAACTTCTCTGACTTCTGTTTGCTTTTCGACTCTATCTGAGTTACACATTAACTGATAATTATTCAGGTTAATGAAATGCAGTAGTCTCTTTCATCAAATATTGGCTATATCAGAAGTTCAGATACACCTCCACTTATTCAGCTTAGGTGGAAAACGTTTTAAAAAGACCATAGTGACTACCGAATTGCTTCCAATATGCTGATGTATGCATATTAATACATGTGTATGCATAACAGAATAAAAATAACCACCCTATATTTTTGGAGTCTGTGTGATAACTGATTACGAAAGTCAGAACCAAGAATATCAGACAGAAACCTCATTCTAGAATACGTATATAATTTTATTAAGGATAATTGCAACAATTCGCAGAAATGCATGGGATAATCTGCTTAAAACTAGTAAGTCTGTCTGTCTCTGTCTGTCTTCGACATAGAACTTTGCACAAATGTGCGGAAGTTCAAGTCGCCACATTCCGTGTAGCACACAAACCAAGAGAAGAAAGTACAAGAAAAGCAAAATAGAGACAGTAAACAGAGGTGTGAGACAAAGGAGTAATAACGAAGAACAAAACAGTTTCATTGGAAATCGTAAGTCACAAGGAGTGGATGCATCTGCGCCACTGAGAACGGTTTTGAGCCATGTCACCAATTGTTTCCAACCATAGATTTTTACCGTCCCGAGGACCCCAGCCTGGAAGTCTACATCTTCCTACGTGGCTTAGACCAACTGTTGTGGATTTCATTGACTGGTGCCAAGTTTTTGTTTGACCTCCGCTAGCTTTTTTCCAGCCTGACCATATATCCGCTAACATTGCTCGTCGAGGGAGGCGATGGCTTGGCATACGTAACACATGTCCTAACCATCTCAGTCTTTGTAACTTCACGACTTCGTCGATTGATTTCCCCTGTTTACCTAGCGCTCGACGCCTAACTTCAATGTTGCTCACCTTATTATGCCACTTTACATGGGAAATAGAGCGCAGGCACCTGTGATCAAAGACAGCTAGTCTTTTCATGTCTTCCACTCTCAGTGGCCAGGTCTCACAGCCATAAAGGAGGACGGAGCGGACTGATGAGCAATACACCCGCCCTTTGGTCGATAGTCGAACATCTCGTCTACGCCAGAGTCGGCGTAAACTGGCAAATGCGAAACGAGCCCCTTGTATTCGTGCTGAGATTTCGGCAGAGATCAACGCCTTGGGGCTGATGGTACTTCCCAAATAAGTGAAGTGGTCAACGTGCTCTACCACTTCACTTCCTATTTTTAAACTAGGCGTCGATGTAGTCCAGTCCTGTAACATCATCTTGCATTTGGCGGGAGCGAATCGCATTACAAACATTCGTAGATTACAGCTCAAGGTGTTTAGAAGACTCTGCATTTCGTCAGCGTCTTCGCCTAGAAGGACTATATCGTCTGCATATTCCAAGTCAACGAGATTATTCCCCGGTAGCAAGTCAA